ACCCCAGCCCCCCCCCCCCATGGCAGTTGAGCACACACAGTGTGGGAGTCCACGTGGAGATGTGCTGGAAGGGAGAAACACTGTCTGTGGCTAGGGAGGAAGAGATTCTGCACTCAGCAGTGCTGCTCATAGTCTGTGTCCAGTTCCCAAAGTTCCCAGCATTGGCACCCTTGGTGTGTACTGGGTCTTAGTGCTCCTATTGCAAAATCTGCACCTCCTATGGCCCGCAGTTGACCCTGTACCTGGAAGATGGTCATATTTGGAGTGGGGCAGGGGGGCATGCGGGGAGAGAGAACTGAGTGTTCTTGAGACTCCTCCACCCTCCCAGAGGGAGGGGTCATCAGGTGCATTTTATCCCCTGATGTCACAGCTGATACCTGGAGTACCTAGACTTGCTGTGAGTCCACAAAGGAGTGTCTTCTCTCAGCCCAGTTCTAGGTATGTGCCTGGACTAATGCCAGACTGCTGGTGCAGGGCTGCTGTCATCTTTACCAGCACAGTTGTTCTTGGCTCTGTCTACCTCTCTGTGCCTTCTGTTTTTGTTTTCTGAATTTCAAGAAAAGCATCCCTTAAAATACATGGTCTTCCTGATCACAGATACAGCTAGCATGGTTTAGTTCTGCCTGCCTTCCAACGTGATGTTACCAGGGCCTGTAGAAGTCCTGTGAACTTGCTCTGACGTCTCGTTGACATGGAGGGTTTGTTTGTTGTTATAAATAAGAACCAGTGTCTCCAGGACACACCTTACTCTGTTTTAGTGAATGGCAGCTGAAGTACATCCCTTACCACCAAAAACTAAATGGCGAAGGAGCTGGAGGAATGAACCGTATGTGTTTTTATCAACAAGGACCTGAGTTTTATTTGTGTTATGTGTTTTGGTGTGTATAAAGTGACTTTTAGTAAGCATGTACATTCAGAGAACGTTGAAATCATTGTTGCACTTTTTTCTTTGAGTAGAATGCCACGTGACTATTATTTGATTAAGATAACTTTATTTTGAATCAATTCACCTTGAAAGCAGGAGGCATCATCCAGGTGGTGAAAAGGTGGATTTTATAATGCCCAGTGTGGGTGGAGGCCAGCCATTCTCCTGTCTGCGTGACAGAGGCTGATGTGCGTGCTAAGTAGAAGGAGGAACGAGAATATTCTTCCTTCCCTTTGTCTGTGGCGACAGCACTGGCTTCACGCTTTACTGAGGAATGAAACACGGTTGAAAGACTAAATTTATCATGACATTCAGGTGGCTCCCCAGACAAAAAGCTGTCAAAGAGTCACTGTATTTTTAACATTTGGTCTAAAAGCTTCTGTACGAGTTACTCAAGCCATTCATTATTTAGATAATTCAGAGCACATGCTTCCAAAGGCACTCTAAAAATATACCTCTTCCCCACATCTCATCGGTACTGGTGCTGGCCTGTGCAGCCGTGGAAGGAAGCAGCGGCCAGAGAAGTTGCGTTAAATAGTTTAGTGGGAAAGCAGAGGTTATTTTTCTGGCTTGGTGGTAGAGGGAATTGTGGTGTTTATGTTGCTCTGGAGCATACAAAGATCTAATCAAACTCTATCTTTACTCTTTTAGTTTATATTCTAAGATCTCTATATTTCTCTTTCATTTGTCTTTAATTCTAAATGTGATTTTTTTGGGAAGTCATTACGTAATGATTTCTAGGGTAAAACCCCAAGCAAGAAATGCCAGTATTCACTGTATGAGTGAAAATTAATTTGGTTTTCATATGTTCTTGTGGTTAATATGATGCTTGATGGAAATAATTTTGTAATGAAAATTATTAAAAATTGATTTGATTAATGTGTTTGTATAAGTTGGTATGAGATGTCATGCTCTGGCGGAGATGACCTAAGGATGTTGTCAGGGCCTGGAATATTGTCTCTCCAGGGCCCACAGGTGTCCTCAGCACCAGCTACCTCCTGACTTCTCTTATCATTGAACAGAGCTGTCCCTTCAACACTCTAGTGTCTCCTCTCAACATTAAAGCCACAGGAGGCTCTCTGATCCCCGACTAGGTCCCTTCTGCGGTGTTGAAGACATTTTTAAAAATCAATGTAGTGTCCTTAACCTAAATATTTTACATTGCCTGAACTTTCTGTAGTTTGGGCAACAATGGGATGTTTTGAAACCAAAATCTCTCAACCAACTCCCTCTTCCATTAACTGGTGAAACATTGGTTTGAGCCAGTGCATTTTGACCATGTGCCATTCTGTACTTGAAATAAAAAATAATTTTATTTCCACCTCCCTTGATGTAAACCAATAAGAGCCTTCTGTTTCGTTTAATGGTGAAGTTGCTTCATCTTCAGCTGTTTTAGAAAATTTTTTTAATGTAAAGAGAAAACTTGATAAAGTATGAATGAAGTTTCCTGCTTTACCATGCCTCAGGGTTGGTCAACTGTGTCACTTGAGGGAAGGAACAGTTGGAATAGGAGGTGGTGTTAAAGATAACACACATGAGCATTTTAACAGCACCCCTTAAAGTCTCATCAAACTGTGCTGTCATCAAAATCCCTTCTCATCCACACCGTTTGGAGCAGGCATCCCATGAGAAGCCCAGAGTTGGTACACAGCTTCGCTTCCCTACCAGTTACTGAGATACTGTGCAGAGTATTGGTTAAGAGCTGGGCTCTGGAACCAGCCTGCCCAGATAGAAACCTCAGATCACATGCCACTCAGGTTTGCCATCTGTAAAATGGGCATAATAACGGTGCCTGCCTCCTGAGGTTGTTGCGAGGACGAGAGCCTATGTGGAGTGATCTCTGCATAAGGATTTGCTGCTGTTAGCCATTAGCGTTGGGCTTCTGGGCAAAGCTTAAATTATTTTATCTTTAGAATTCTAACATGGTGCCTGCCTCCTGAGGTTGTTGCGAGGACGAGAGCCTATGTGGAGTGATCTCTGCGTAAGGATTTGCTGCTGTAGCCATTAGCGTTGGGCTTCTGGGCAAAGCTTAAATTATTTTATCTTTAGAATTCTAACATCTGTCTCCCTTGTAAAACAGCATGGGCACATCGATGTTTTGCGAATTTTTGCTAAAATGCACTTAGGTTAATGATTCGTGAATTGCCTTTCAAAGATATGAGGTTATGCAACAGAGCTTTGTCTAAATCAGTCTCCGTCTGATGATCGTTCCGTGTCCTTTTTCTTCACATATTAGCAGCGGGAGGAGAAGAGAGGGGCAGATGGCAGTACCACTTACTCATGTTAGGTAGGCGCACAATGTGTATGATCAGTATTTGGTGAATTTCCTTTTTCTTGATAGTAGTTAACTGACATTTGCACTAACTTTAAAATTAGAATGAAATCAGGCAAATGGAGAATGAGTAGGCAGGCTCCCTGCCTCCTTGTGTTAACTGTCATCTGTGTGAGTCATTGGGGACGTGGGGATAGGACCACGAGCTGGACAGCGAGGCCATCAGCACTTCCGAGGCCTTCTGCTGACTGCTGCTCTTGCTACAACATACAGAATTTACTGGCATCTCCCTTTCAATTTTATGCCAGACAATGCATCTCCATGTTGGGTTGCAGTAGAGATTGCCGAGAAAATAAATGAAAACCTCATCAGAAGGATTGGGGCTGGTCTCAATCTTCATGCACACCCAACCAGTGGTGACTTTGATTTTTCATTATCCTTCCTGCATCGTTTAGAGGAGACAGATGGTTTTCCAGTTAATCAAATTTTTAAAATCATCTAAAAGGAAGTTTCTAAGCCTGGAGCAAATCATTTCAATAAATCTCATTCATATTTACCTGCTGCTGCATTTTAAATGGAAGAGAAAGTTTTTCAAGTATATTTGGAAAGTAGTGTCTGAAAATTAGAAAATTTCACCAGCAGAGTGAAAATAAGAGCCCAGGATTCGGAGTTCAAAGGTCTGGATTCTCTTTGGGGCTTGTCCTCAAGCTAGCTGTGAGATAGTTCTGATTACATCTACAGAACTTTCCAGCTTTTATACGTTGGAAGTACGGTGAAAGTAACTGCATATTTTATGTGAAGGTGACAAGTCATTGTGTCCCGATTTGTACCTCTAGTCATCTGAATAGCAGAAGCCAGGCCACAAGCAGTGTCACTGCAGGACATAGTATGAACATGGCCTGTCGAACTCCGAAGTCTAGGCTAGTGACCCCTGAACCTGCATTAGACTTCCCAGGTGACTCCTAGAGTCTGAGATGGGACCAGTGACCACCTCCAACTGAATTTCACCCGGTTGGTAGATGGAGGGAGGGGAACACCATGTGTGTCTAAAAATTAGCAGAACCTGATACGTGAATATGGATTCTGAAGCACAGGATCGGAAAGGTTTTTGTTTTTGTCTTTTAATGATATGCAGTTTATAAGATTTATCAATGACTAGGCTGTATACTTTTTCCCTAGATTCTGAGCTCTGAGGAAGCTCTTTAGTTTATAGTACTTAATAAGTACTTGTTAAAATGTTTCCAACATTTCTTTAAACTGGGCCCACCTGCCTCCAGACCCTCTGTGGCCTTATCTCTTCTATGACTGACCATTTGGTGGCTGGCACTGGACAGAGCCTTGGCCAGGTGTGAAGGCCAGGCTCATGGGGCTCCTGGGTGCCAGCCGCCTGTGTCCCCTGGCCTGGTCCTCCACAGCACCCATGCCAGGCCCTTCGCCTTTGCTCTGTGGGTAATGAAACATTTTCAAGAAATGCTGACATTCAGTGAATGGATGGAAACATTAACTCTTTGCTTTTTTCTTAACAGACACGCGACGACTTCCTGGGCCAGGTGGACGTGCCCCTCAGCCATCTTCCGGTAAGGACAGTTCTGTGCTTTGTCTTGCCTGCCGGGGTCAGCGGTTTCTGCTGGTCTACAAGTGGTGTATTTTCAGAGTGACATCTCTTCAACACGATGGAGGGACTGAAATGAAGAGATGAACTCTGCTCCTAGCTCTTTTCTGGAAAGTGGTTCCTCAGGCGGGTGGAGGATAACTTAGTTTTGGAAACCAGGTGCATCGCCCTCTGCCTTCTCTCCTGCGCTTTACCTACTCTGCCGTCGCGTGTCCCATCTCACAAAACGGCCATCTCCTCTCTCATGCCTTCCTTCTTGTCACCTAATACGTTCACTTCCAAGTTCATCCTTTGGGTCTAATTGGGTATTTGTCCCCTTTGTCTAGAATCGCACGTGCTATTTCTCTTGAATCCATCTGTATAAGCTAGGGATTCCCAGGTTTTGGTGTATCGCTTTCTCGGTACACATGGAGACAAAAAGAAAAGACACTGTTCACAAGAACTTGTCAGCTGGGAACACCCGTCCTAGATTAAGAAAATGCACCAAATCCGCACGTGTGATGTTGCTGCCATTTTCCTCCCCTCAGATGAGTAGCACAGAGTGGCTGTGGGCCTGGATCTGAGGCCAGGGTGGTCACCTGCAACACGAGGTGGTCTAGAAAGGATATGAGACAAGACCTGGAGGCCTCGGGGAAGGGAGGTCATCTCATATTCCAGCTCTAGCTTTCCAGATTGTTCCACCCCTGCGGCCATCCTTCTTCCCCTGTGCAGCACAAAGTGACATAAGCAGCAGCTAAGAAAGAGAAGTCAGATGTTTCTGCCTTACAAGGGCATTGTGTTATTTTTTTAAATGCTTTGAGTGAGCAAGTAACATAAATAGTCTATAAACTAAAATGACTTAAACCACCTAGAGTGAGCCTCCTGCTGTGTTGAGATTGTGGCTGTTACCATATGTTAAATACCAAGGAAGACTGAGCCTTACCAAGGAAGCTTTGAAGATGTGTTGTGAAGGAATGTGACTGCAAGCAATTCACTCTTACTTACCCAGGGGAGCTATTAAAGAAGAAAGGTTTTGAGTGCATTCCCTTCCAAAGGATCGGGAGCAAAACAGTGATAGCCTTAAAATATTTTCATTTGTTTCTCATATGGGGGGGGGGGACGCATAAGCGGGAAGACTCCTAGCCCTCACCTGAAGCTGTTTCCTCCAATTGTACGTATGTAATACAGCAACAGTATTTCATTTAAACAATGAAAAAAGGTTCCAAGGTTTGGAATCATAGAAATCAAGATGAAGAGAAGTAATTTTTATTGTTTCTTAAATCTTTATTAGCAAAATACTTAATTGCCTATGCTTCCATATTGACATGTATATTCACCTATTTATTATAAGGCATTTCAAAACCAGGAATGAGGCATTATTTTTTGCTTACGATATTATGAACCTTTATTCCTTTAGAAGGAATAATCAAGTCTCTGCCTTGATTCTGGAGTTGCCCATGTTGAGTGTGGCTGTTATCCCTGTCAGGCAGTGGAGGGACAGGAGTCAAGACAGCAGAGCTAAACTTAGTGTCATCTCTCGTGATGGTTAGGACATTATTTTTAATGATGTAAATATCCTATTTTGTGGTTTCTATGTGCGTGTTTTTGAAAAATAAATGTCATAGACCTAGTCATTGATGTTGCTGCAGAACCTTTCCTTGCTGAACTTCTAGAGGCCTGTGAGTGCGGTTGCCAATGGAGACTGGTGTTTGCAATGTAAAACCTTGCTTTCGAGGTCTCAGGATCGGTTCTCGGAAGCTGTCCCCTATTTGCAGCCATAAATTCTCTGATGCAAAGGCAAACTGGAGGGTCAGGGTGTCCCCCCTCTCAGTGGGCCCCTGGAGCAGCAGGCCCTTGGGTAGAGGTAAACCACATTACCAGCACGTTGGCATCTGGACCTGGCCCGCGTACTCCTCAGCCCACCGCCATGTGTTGGGTACCTGGATTAATTAAGTGCCCTGCCGGGTCAAGTTGGAGCTCTGCCAGGGAGATGAGCAAACGAGGCCACTAGGAAAGGAGAGGCAGGGTATGGAGGGGGGCTGGAAGCGGCTGCGCTCTGCATGGTGGAAAGGCATGACCTCCATCGTCAACTGCAGTGGCCAGAGGAGGCGGTACCCACTCCCTTTTGTCCCCCAAGTGGGGGAGGACAGTGATAATGAAGGACAAAATAACTCCTTCTCCCCCCCTTTGATCATATTCCTCAATGCTTTGTACTTATCAGATATTTCCAGAAGAAAGAAAATAATTTTAGAGTTGGGATTCACTTTCCTTCTTGGCCTGCAGACTTAAATCCTCCCAGTTTTATTTGGGACGGTTGAGAAATGAGTAAGAAATAGGATGCAAGGGGTCTAGAATGGTATGGACCTCGGTTTCCTTTGCTTCTGTTCCATGTTTGTCACTCGTTTTTGATATTTCTTTTTTATTTTATTTATTTTTGAGGGGAGAAGTGAGTAAAAGAAGGAGAGCCAGGGAGGGCAGGTGGGGCTAGCGGGCCAACCCTTTATGCCAGGCGGAGAATTAAGGCAACGCAAACTCATGCTCCAGGAAGTCTGCAAAGGTCAAGCTTGAGAAGATGGGCGTCTGTCTGTGGGGAATTGGTGACTCCCATCTGGGAGAAGGGCGAGTTGCCTAGGCAACCTTAATCAACTGAAGTGTTCCTTTCTGGTCCTCTCTTTTCCCTGTAAAATGAGGGTATTTGCATGGACAATACCACGTTTGCGTCCGGTTCTGAGATAGAACATCTTAGCTGTTCCACTGTGTTTACTAAGCGGAGGCAGCAGCCACCACAATGACATACATGTTACCTAGGAGATTTTGGCAGCACGAAATTCTGGAGGCACATGGAGGAGATGGGAAACTGATTTAGGAAGGTTGTTGCCTGATGCCTGTAGCACAGCTTAAACACAGCAGCTCCTCTGTTTTTCTTTTGGGGCACCAGTGGCAACTTTGCTGTAACTGTACTGTGATTATTGATTTTTTTTTTTTTTTAAGATGCCATGTTCATACTTGTGTCATTACAAGTTCGTTTGTTCCTACAATAATTGATAACTTGTATCTACTCCTTAGGGACCGAAATCACTCCAAGACTGTACTAACAACAGAATGAAATTTCTGGCAGGTGTCTGTCTGCCTGTTACATCTCTGCCTTTGCCAGTGTGTCTGCCCTCCCTTAGAGTCCCCAACACTCACACCCTTGCCCAGCTACAGAATCTCTGCATCTGTGGGCAGTGCCCTGGTGCAGAGAGAGTATTTTGAAAACATAAATTTCTTCCATTTGTCAAGTGCTACTTAAGGCTAACTTTTGAATTTTAGTTTTCCTACAGTGAGGCATTTTGGGTTTGGTGGTATTGTTTGATGCCCTCACTGAACATGAAGGTGACTTGGGAGATCAGCGTTCTTGTGCCCTGTGTGTTTATGGCTGGGGGCAGGTAATGGTTCCCTCTCACATGTGTGGAATTCAGTATCCTAGAGCTTGGAGGGACTTGGAAAGACATTCTTCCACTCCTGGTATTTTCCAGGTGAGAAAACCTGGGCCCAGAGAAGGAGGTGACTTGCCTCGCCATCAGTAGGTCGGTGGCAAGTGCTGGCCTTGACCCTGGGTCTCCAGTATCATCGTGTGCTTGCAGTGTAGTCAAGGTCATGGGTGGGCTGAGCCTAAGGCTTGGGTGCTTTTGGTAGTTGCATCCAGGTTTTGAGTCTGGGGTCCTAGTGAGGCCTTTCCCTTCCATTTGCCTGCATAATTATTTACCTCACTCCACATCACAGTGACCACACTTCTGCTGAAAGCACCTACTCTCTTTAAGGTGAAAGCGCAGTGCATCCAAAAGATTTTCTTCAGAATGCTCATACCCTGGGACAGGAGGCAGCGTTATGCACTTTGGCCAACAGTATCAATACTGTTTGCATCAATCTGCCAGACAGCTCTTTCCCGGGAACACCTCCAGTGCCATCCTGGGAATCTGCACTTAGCTTTTCTCCAAGGAGCATGATCTGGTTGGAACCTGGATAAATGCCAAGGAGAATCTTGTAGTTATCTACCAGATTGTCATCTTGCTCAGACTAGACAATTTCCATGAAGGTGAATTTGCATTTTCAGTGCCCCGCCTGTTATTGCACAGCGTTGAGTTGGCAGTGCTCATAAGTGACATGATCACATAGGACTGGCTACTGGTGATATGATGACCAGCATTTGTTAGGTGTGCCAGGCCCCCTCATGAGGAGTTTATATAAACCAACTCGATTGATTTAATCTTCACAGCGACCCTATAAAATATGGTTACTGCCCCGTTTTATAGATGAGGACACTGAAACCAAGAGATTAAGGAACTTTCCCTGGTTTCTGTAAGTAACAAAGTCAGGCCCTAAGCCTGAGAGATTTTGCCTCTTGACTTGTGTGGTATTAGTCATTTAAACTGCATAGCATGTGGACAGAGTCAGAGCCCCTCTAAGCTCTCTGGTTTTCTCTTTCTTCTCTCTTGCTCACTCTGCTGCTTCTAGATTCTTCATGCCCATGAATGATCCTGTAGGCTTTGCTCATGTTTGATTTCCTTAGCTTAAACTGTCCTTCCTCCCAGTGCTCCGCCTACTAAGAGTTTCCCATTCATTTTGAATTGGACCAACATCCAAAAACCGTTTCAGTCCCCTAGTCAGAATCAGTCTCGTCCTTCCACTCAAGTCTCATGGAATGTAACCTCTGCCTTAGCTTCTAGTGAATTGTTGATGACGGCCCCTCTCACCTAGTTGTAATTGGAAGGGTTGATACTGTGTTGCATCCACGCCTTATACATGCTATTGCTCTGAAACTATTCATTGGTTGAATAAATGAAAATAAGAAGGGATTCCAGCAATACTGTTCTCGATTAATAGATTTTCCATCACAAGTGATATATATTTGGAAACATTTTTTTT